AGGCCCGCGGGGGCAGGCGGGTGTTGGTAAAGGAGCATGCATAAATAATTTTTTTAAGTTAGCTTTTAAATGGAGTCGAAGGCTGCCTTTTCTTTTTCTTTCTGGAGATAAAGGAATCCTTATGAATTATTTATGAAACCACATGAATTGCTGTATAAAACAAGGTATGCGACATGGTCCAAAACAATTGCAAAGGACAAGAATGGGCTCCAGAGGAGTGGCATAGATCCGAGACTAATTGCTGATAATATATACATACTTCAGTGACTAGTAGCAAATGTTCTGTTTTATTTAACATTTGAGGGAATATTCATGCACCATACTTGGCATATCCTTGATTTTATGAAGGAATTTAATGTTCAACGTGCTATGGTACCAGATCCATCCTTTTATGGACACTTATCATCCTAAACTGTCAGCAGATGAAAATGTTTAGCTGTTCTTTTGCTCTGCTACAGAGATTGAGAGGGAATCATATTGAGAAAGAGGAAATAATGCTGGTTTACATTCTAACTCAGTTGTCTACACAAAGGGGAAAGGAAGTCCCCATAAAACAATGGAGAACGGTGCTTAGAAATATTGGTGGGTAACTACTCAAAAAAAGGTTTTTACCCGACTAAATGACATGACAGGACATTGAACTTATGAAAGGAAAAGGAATTCAAAGAATAAGAATCATTATTAGCTATCTTTTAATTTCCCTTTGTGAAGGAACAGATTTTTCTGCTTCTATATTTTTGATGATTTAAAAATGTGTCATGTAACATATTTTATGATGGGGGGCCTGATGGTGCAATGGGTTAAGTGTGTGCTTGCTAACCTAAAGGCCAGCTGTTCAAACCTACCAGCTGCTCCTTGGAATAAAGAAGAGGCAGTTGACTGTGGTAAAGATTTATAGTCTCAGAACCCCTACAGAACAGTGAGTTCTACTCTGTCCTCTAAGAGCCACTTTAAGTGAAAATCTACTTGATGGCAGTGGGTTTCTCTTATGGTTAAACTGTATGTTGAAATGAGAGTACAAGTGGTACCACCATTTAAAAATGAGATCAGCAACATTAGAACAGCCTAACAGATAGCAAAGAATATTTTTTAGGTAGGAGGTACAATTTTAAATGTTAAAATTGCTATGCTGATAAGATCAATTTTGTCCCATTTTATTTTCATCATTTCTCTTAGTTAACTTATTCATACAAATAGGCATGCATCAAGGGATTAAATTGACATGCTTCCAATTATATCTTCTTAGAAAAAAATGAGAGTTAACTTTTAAATAATCAGTAAACCCTCTAAAAATTGTGTTTAAACTAGTGGTTCTCAACCTTCCTAATTGGTGACCCCTCAATCATAAAATTATTTTTGTTGCTACTTCATCACTGTAATTTTGCTACTGTTGTGAATCAGGCAACCCCTGTGAAAGGGTCGCTCAACCCCTCAAAGGGTCGCGACCCACAGGTTGAGAACTGCTGGTTTAAACAATCATTGGAAGGATCTGAGTTTTATGACTTACACTTAATGACTAGCTTAATGATCTCATTATCTTATTAAAAAAAAGGCAATATCTTCGGTTTGTGAATAAAACTTCTTATTTTCAACAATTAGCGTTTTTATCTCTGTTTATGAGTAGCAACTGCCTGTTTATCAAACATTTCTCTTCCGATGAAACGGACTCGGCGCCAGTGCTATTACGTTTCCTAAAGAACCTATTGTACAAAATTATGTTTGGCCTTCAAATACTTGCTACACATCATATCTTATGGCTTTCAGGATAACTGGTGTCCTGATGACCACCTACATTGTGCACCTACATTTTCCTTTAAAACAAATGTTGGGGTTGACCAGCAAATAACATTTACTCAGTGGTAAAAGTAATCAAGCTGGGCGTTTTATTTTGTCCTGAAATCTGTGGTGTGCTACCTCTATGTACAAATGTTACATTCTCCAAGACATGCTGACATTGCAGTTCCTTAGGAAATGAGAAGTTGGACACGTTTGCGGGCCGAGTTTGTGGTTCTTGCAGTGGTCTGCTAGCTTTATAAGAGTCTAGGATTAGCAACGGTCTTATTCTTTACAGGTTCCTGGCAGTGGGTTTCTTTGCTTTGTGTACTACGTGAATTTGGCACATTATTCAGAAAACGTCCTGGGGAAACTCTATCACTACTACAGTTGTTTTGCCTCAGAGTAAATGCTTTTTTTTCCCATGAGAGAAATCATCTTTTTACAGTAACCCAACAAAATAAATTAGAATACATATCACCTTCAGCAAATGTCCTTATCCCATCTAAAATTATGGAAAGAGAATTATTGAAAATGAGTTCACTATACATGTCTTGAAATACTGCTAAGAGAAATGGCAAACATTAGGTAATCTAAGAAGTGTCTCATTCTTAGTCCACGAAGATTTTGAAAAAGGAGTTCAACATTAAATCACTTCCTTTCCATGAATATTTGGACCAATTTCCATGAAAAAAACGTATTTTTTTCTAGTCCTGTATTTTAACATAACTTTATTTAAGGAAGGAAATAGTTAATAGGATCTTAATGAAACAAGGTTTATATTTACTTATATATTTTATTTTTAGTGCATTTTAAATCTAAGACTGACTCATCAGTGTCTTCCCATTTCACTATTATTTCTAAAAAAAAGTTACAAATAAGAGACATGTAGGAAAATATTACTGGCATCTGCATAATAAGTTTTGTTGATAAGAGATATTAATTTATAGACATTCGTATTGTGAACAGATTGAGCCACAACATTTAAAAAAATGGTATAAAATGATCAAGTCTACTCCAAGGAATTAATGTTTGACATTTCAGAAACTCATTATCCATAAAACTGCAATTTAGAAGGTTTCTAATAGCTTAGATGATGACTGCTATTATTTGGGATTTTTGCTCGTAAAGCAAGTCTTTAATAAAATCTTACGCTCAACAGCATAAGAAAGTGATAAAGGGCACTAAGTGTGTTCTCGGCCTGCCCCTCCCACTGCACTCTTACCTGACATTAGTCACACACACAGTGGGCTCCAAACCATTTCTCTCCATTCCACTTCTCTCCATGTAAGCATAGATGTCCCCATGGGCAAAGGCCACTAGCCACCACATGATGGCAAAGAGCAGCCAGCTGCAGAGGAAGGACATGGTAAATATGACCAGCGTGTGGCGCCATTTCAAGTCCACCAACGTGGTGAAGATGTCCTGCAGGAAGCGTCCTTGCTCTCGGATGTTCTTGTGCGCCAGGTTGCAGGCCCCACTCTTGGCGATGAAGCGGGCTTTGGGGAGCCGGTCTCGGACGCGCGGCTTTCGCAGGTTCTCCGCCGCGATGCGCGCCAACACGTACTCCTCCGGGATGATGCTCTTTCTGGCCAACATAGTCCCCCGCCACCACAGCCAACTCTACACCTGCCTCTGACCTCTCTCCTTCCAAGACCCGTCCTCCTGCAGGCGAGAAACGATGACTAGCAATGACGATGACGAAGATGATAGCTGTAGAGTAATAAGTCGACCTGCGTGCTGACTGCTATACAGATAGACGTAGATGTAAAGCTACAGATAACAATATCCAGTCATCTCACTTCTCCAGTCTCGGATTCAGAAGCACATCTGTACATGCAAGGGGACATGCAAAGCTAAAATTATGATTTAATGAATAAAAAGCACAGAGCTGGCGTTTGCTTGAGTTCCGGGATCCCACAGAAATTGTTATTAGGTCTGAATCAGGGAAAGCCGTACCCATCGTCCTTTTTAGTCTCGACACATAGGCATAGCCTTCATTCTACGAAGCCAAGAGTTTTCATGGAAACGGCAGGCTCAGAGACAGAGCGCCCTGAGACCAGCCAGGTCTGAGAGGAAGGCAAAGCTATCGGCTCAAAGAGGCAACATGAAAATTAAGGCCACAGGGCTGTAGGGTGTATTTATTGAGATATTCGGATGGTACAGAAATATTAAAAGTAAAAATGGGGAATTCTCTCTCCATTATTTTTAGAAGAAGAAAAAGGCCGCAGACTTCTGCGCAGTGTAAATTATGTTTCGTGTGATCTGACACAGAGCAACCATAAACTATGTGCTCTGTAAAGAGCGTTTGGAAGCATTATTTTGAATTGGAAGGAAGTATGAGTTATAGTACGAAAAGAAGAAGAGGAAAAAAAGTTTCCCACGGAACCGAGTGGAACTTGAAAACTTCTTGACAAGGTGTGGGCTGCAGTCCCGTTCGAGTACAACGCTTGACCAGACCCCCACCATTGCAGATCCGTGTGCATTTGAAGTCATCCGCGGGGACGTGGAAAGCCATCCCCCCGCCCCTCCCGCGCCCGCGGCGCGCTGAAACTTACAGAGTCCGGGCAGCGGACGCGGCGGCTGGACCTCCGAGCACGCGCCGGCAGAGCGCCGCCAGGTCCCGTGCTCTCCCATCCCGGCGCGCGGGGGCAGCTGCCGCGGGAGCCGGAAGGACCGATCCCGGGACCGAGAGGTCTACATAGAAGAGATCAAATAGGAAAAGGTGCAATTGACTTTAACTGCGCAGAGGGACGAAGGAGAGGGTGATGGGAGGAGATCTCCCTCCCCTGGTTCGCCTGGATTCTCTTGGCAGCCACGATGGGCAAAGGAGGGGCTGGGGAAGAGAAGCTGCAGGGTGGGGGTGGGGTGGGGGCAGATGCTCCCCAAATCAGCCTCCCCTTTGTGGCGGTGACGTGCGCCTGACCTCAGAGACGGCCGCGGTGCGGGAGGTTGGGGAGCGGGGGGCGGAGGGGGAGGCGCGTTTCGGGGGAGGAGGGAGCCGCTATGGGAGGGGCACCCCTGGGGGAGGGCGGAACCTGAGCTCTAGCTCTGTCCCAGTAGCGGCGACCCGCTGTCGCTGGCGTGACATATATGTCTTTAAAAGGCTTGCTGATCAGAGAGAGAACTTCCTAGTCCAAGTTCACGCATGTAAGGAAAACTTACTTTGTTGCAACATGGATAGACAACTGGGCTGTTTCAGATGTAATACAAGCAAAGGTAGAGGTCAGGAGATAGTCTTTCAAGGAACTCAGACATTTGCCCACGCATTAAACCTCTCTTTAGTTGTGGCAAGGGAGCTCTGGTGGCGTAGTGGGTCGCTAGCCACAAGGTCAGCATTTTGAAACCACCAGCCGCTCCTGGGAGACAGAGGAGGCTTTCTGCTCCTACAGCTTTAAAGCCTCAGTAATCCGCCGGGGCAGTACCACTGGGGTCACTGTGAGGGGTAATCAACTTGCTGAGAGTTAATTTCAGTTTCGTAGTGACATACAGACAGGTGGACGATGTTCTGAGACTCCATGTGTCCACTATTGCTTCAGCATCAGTTTTTAGTGACTAACACACACCAAGCGAAACATTGCCTCCTCCCACAGTGGTGTCGCTAGGGTTGCTGTCATCCAGTGAGACAATGTAGGGGTCACCTTTCCTCCCCACCGTGGACCTCACCCCATCAAATTATACAGAATCTTATTGTTTACTATCAACTGTAATCACAGAATAATATATGATACATCTAGTTGTAAATGACTTACATTGAATATTTCCTAGATTGCACGAGTGCCCACAGCAAATTGTTTTATAAAATATGTCGACATTAATTTATTATTAGTTACAAAACATCCATCACTGAACAAAAGTTGTTTATGTTTTAAATTTTTTCCTCCGACTTTTACTTTAAGTATGACTTCATTTTCCAAAAAAGTCATTGGTTCAGGTAAAGAAATACAAATCACCCTGATATTGTGGTCAAAACAAAAGAGTAGGTGACAAAGTTGGCAACTAGATAGACACCCTCAGCAATGAAAACAACGAGATGTGCTTGTGGCATGTGAAACCAGCACAGGGTTTTATCCTTGTTGTTGTTCAGTGCTGTCTTGGTTCCAAGCCGCGGCGACCTGATGCACAACGGAACCAAACACTGCCTGGTCCTGCGCCACCCTCACAAGTGTTCCCATGACCGAGCCCTTGTTTCAGCCACGGTGTCGGTCCGTCTTCTTGAGCGATTCCCTCTACTTTACCAAGCCTTGTCCTTCATAATGTCCTCACCTGACAAGATGTCGAAAGTATGTAGGGACTGCAGGTAAATGGATAAACGCAACCTGAGCTTAGGAAAGTGATTTTTGTTATAACTATTGTTAGGTGCCAGCAAGTGGTTCCTATTCTTAACAATATCTTCCATGTGAGATAAATAAAAACACTGCGTGGTTCTGTGTCATCTGCGTGACCCTTACTATGTTTGAGTCAAATGTAGCCACTCTGCTAATTCATCTCCTTAGGGGTCTTGACCCTCTACTTTACCAAGCATGACAGCCACCAGGAACTGGTCCCTCCTGATAAAGCATCTAAAGTATATAACACCAAGTCTTGCTTTCCTCTCTACTAATGTGAATTCTGGCTGTGTTTCTTCCAAGATAGATTTGCTCGTTTTTTTGGTCATCCATAGTTTCTTCAATATTCTTTGCTAACACCATAATTCAAAGACACAAGTCCTCGGGTCTTCCTCACTAACTATCCACCTTTCCCATGAATTCAGAGTGAATGAAAGTACCATGGCTTCGTGACACCTTTGCTTTTTAATACTTTAAAGAAATATTTGCAGCAGATATACCCAATGCAATATGCTTTTAAATTTTTTCTTGACTGCTGCTTCCATGGGTGTTGATGATGAAATCAAATTAAACGATATCCTTAACTTCAATCTTTTCCTCACTGATTATGATGTGGCTTATTGGTCCACTTGTGAAGATTTTTTATTTCTTTATGTTGAGGTATAATACATATTGAAAGCTATAATCTTTGCACAAACCTTTTCTGATTTTCAACCACGCATTATCCCTTTGTCAGGTGAAGAGACTTGGCTGATGTGCAGGTTCCTCATGAATACAATGTGTTCTGGAATTCCCATTCTTTGCAGTGCTACCCACAATTTGTCGTGATCCAACAGTCGAAAGCCTTTGGATAGTCACAAAAGCACAGGCAAACATCTCTCTTGTATTCTCGGCTTTCAGTCAAGATCCATCCGATATCAGCAATGAGATTTTTCATTCCATACCCACATTTAAATCCAGCTGGCATTTCTGGTTGTTCTCTGCTAATGTACTGCTGCAACCAATTTTAAATCATTCTCAGCAAAACTTTGCTTATATATGATGTGAATGATACTGTTCAAGTGTTTCCACCTTCTGTGGGACCACTTTTCTTTGGAATGGGCACACATGGGGATCTTTTCCACTTAGCTGGCCAATTGTAGTCTTCCAAATTTCTTGGCACAGACAAGTGAGTGCTGGAAGCGCTGTCTTTGTGGGTTAAACATTTTTAATTGGTATTCTGTCAATTCTGGAATCGGTGTTTTTCACCAATACTTACAGTGCAATTTGAACTTATTCCTTCAATACCATTTGTTCTTGGTCATGTGTTACCTATTGAAATAGTTGAACATTTTCCGATTCTTCTTGGTACAGTGACTATGTATTACTTCTACCTCATTTTGATGCTTCCTGCATCATTAAATACTTGGCCTATAATATACTTCAACATTGCAACTCAAAGCTGGCATATTCTCTTCGTTCTCTGAGCTTGAGAGATTTTGAGTGTGTTCTCTCCTTTGGGTTTTCTAACTGTAGGTCTTTGCACAATTCATTGTGATGTTTGCCTCCTCTGGCAGTCTTCGAAATCTTCTGTATAGCCCTTTTACTTCATCATTTCTTCCAGTTGCTTTAGTTACTCTATGTTTAAGAGGAAGATTCCAGGGCTCTTTGGACATTCCTTTTGGTCTTTTCTTTCTGTCTGTCTGCCTTTTGAATAATTTGCTTTCTTTGTGTATGCTCTCTTTGATACCATCAGACAACGTGTCGGCTCTTTGGTCATTGGCAGTAGTTAAGGTGGTATTTGCATAAAAAGACTAAATGTCTACCAAAACATTGCAAAACAATTGTGTAGTCAGTCATTTTGAGGCTACCTCCTCTGACCATGCCACCCATGAGTTCTGCACTCTGTCCGCCACTAATGAAAGCACTTCTCTTCAGTGAAGAAATGTTAGCCTAACAGGGACCACTGTCCAGCGTGAGTACTGAGACAGTCATCGCTCAGCAGTTTTTTGATTTCTAAAAATATTTCAGCTTCTCAATCTTGTCTAGATGGCCTGAAAGATGAAACAGAGCGATTACAAACAAGGAAGGTTGTATAGTAAATCGTTTTCCATAGCGCCCTGAAAGGAAGCCAGCAAAGACAAATGTGCTTTCTCACAGGTCAAACGCTGTGATTTTGGCACTTGGGTTAATGGAAACTTTAATTCTTGGAAATTTTATGTATTTTCCTGGAATCAGGGCCAAAAGAGTATGGAGAATAAACAGTGTGTTCATTTAATTATGAAACAACCTAAAATTAGTGTTTAATGAACACACAGGGACACAGCTTTCCCTCTGTGGATAGTGTGCTTAACCTCTTCGAGCCTGGGGTGCTAGTCTGTGAGTGGTAACTCTCCTCTCTAGTATTGTGAATTTATGCAGTAGTTTATTTAGTAGTTTTACCACAAATGTGCGGGGATCAATTTTGCGCAATACACACAGTGTTCTAGGTTAAAATGGAGTTTGCTGTAAAAATTATTGTCTGTTATGCTAATTCAGAGAACATTCCCTGAGCATATATTTTGTGAAGGTATCTATTTGAGGTCTGTGCATCTAGGATTATGTCAATCTGTAAATCATTATT